GATTCGGCAAGGCACCGCTCCCTGTGTGTCCTTCAGCAAATGTCAGTTGACCATTGAGATGTGTTTGTATGCAGAACGAGCTGAAGGGAGAACAAGGAGGACCTGGCCTGAAAGGGGAGAAAGGAGAGCCGGGCGGGGGATTCTATGATGCTCGCTATGGTGGAGGATTGGGGCTTCCTGGACCTCCTGGAAATCCAGGATTACCCGTAAGTTGTGTTGAGTACAACGCAGCTCTATTCATTTGAGCAAAGCCTGTTCCTTTGTCTTCATTGTTGTTGGTTTTATTCACAGGGGCCAAAGGGAGACTCTATCAGAGGTCCTCCTGGTCCCCAGGGCCCACCAGGAGCCCCAGGAATGGTTTACGAGGGTCGTGCTGGGAACCCAGGCCCACCCGGCCCACCGGGCCCTCCTGGGCCTCCAGGGTCACCCTCGTTGCCAGGAGCCTACAGGCCCACACACAGTATGTTTTATTCACAAAACCACTTGCATTGCATTTTGTGCAATATAAGTAAAGTACAAATAAACTTCTGATGCCACAAAACCACTTAGCTCCTATAGTCAAGAACAGAAAAATTGGTTTTCATTTCGCTGTTCTTTGTACTGATACGTTTGGTGGAAAATGTGAAAATATGATTAACGTGTGTTTCAGCCATAAGCGTTCCAGGACCCCCAGGTCCTCCGGGGCAACCTGGAACTCCTGGTTTGTCTTCTGTGGTAAGTATCATGCTAACCTGAAGAGGACAGATGTTGTGCAAAACAATTAGTGGCCCCTGCTTTTGAAGAAGAACCATTATCTCATACATCTGAATGATTTTTTAAACATCTGGTTGTAAATGAAAACAGCATGTGAGTGCTTTTTTATGCTTTTGTAATTTTTCTGCCATTTATGTGCAGTTTATTCAATATTAGAATGCTCTCTGTGTTCATTTTGTTTGGTGGAATCACAGGTAACTGTACTGAGGTCATATGAAATCATGATTTCCACCGCACGGCGACAAGCTGAGGGGACACTGATCTTTGTCATGGACAATGGAGATCTCTACATTCGAGTCCGAGAAGGATTCCGACAAGTCATGGTATATTCCATTCTAAAAATATGGTTTCCATTAATGATACAAATGTCTTGTATTTATTAAGACCTTGATTTACATATTTTATTATCATTCATGTCTTTTTTCCAGCTAGGAGATTACAGGCCTTACTCAAGAGACTTGGTAAGCACATTCATTCTTATACATTGTAACAGTCATTTATTTGAAGAATGACAATGCAATGTGTTTGGTCCACTTAGAAAAAAAAATTACATTTGATGTTTTCTTTTTGCTATTGCTATTTTTCACATCTATAGGACAACGAAGTTGCAGAAGTTCAGCAGCCTATTGAGATCCCCAAGACGCCACAACAATCACAACAAGATAACCGGAACACTGATTACCCTGTCAGATACCCCTCCCAACCTGACACAAGATATCCATCACAATCATACCCCATATACCCCTCCAATACTGAGCCTAGATACCCCCCACTGCCAGACAATGGGTACAATCCCGTCCAGCCTGACAGTAGATATCCCAGCATCCCCTCTCAAAGACCCAGTCCTCCAAAACCACAGCCTCCCAGCCATTCACATACATTTGGACCTGGGGTAAGTACTTTAAACATGATATCTATTTAATTTAGCCTGCTATGTGATGCTCTTTTGTGTATAATTGTCAGGATGTTGCTAATTGGGACCTCTCTCTTTCTGTTTTGGTCAGCTGCATTTGATTGCCCTTAACATGCCACAATCTGGTAACGTGCGGGGCATCCGAGGGGCAGACTTCCAGTGCTTCCAGCAGGCCCGTGCCGTGGGGCTGACGGGCACTTTCCGGGCCTTCCTGTCCTCCAAGTTGCAGGACCTCTACAGCATCGTCCGCAAATCAGACAGAGACAGCTTGCCTATCTTGAACCTCAAGGTGATGCTAAGATCCTGTTCTTACGTACTCGCGAATGCTGATCAGGAAAATCAACAAGCAGTTCAAAACATTTTGTTTGCATGAGTTTTCATTGATATCCAGGACAGATGTTCAATGAACACTTACCCAACTAGTGTCAGAGTACTAACCGCTTGTGTACTGCTTTCTGGACTTCAGGACCAAGTGCTGTTCAACAGCTGGGAGGCTCTCTTCAGTGACTCAGAGGGCAAGATGAAGGAGAATGCACCAATCTACTCTTTTGATGGTAGAGATATCCTCAGAGATAGTGCCTGGTGAGTTTCCCTTGTGTGGTGGTTATCAAACCAGTAAAGTCCCCATTACTGGGGTCAGTAAACTTAATATTATTTTAATGGGAATGGAATTACCTTGTATTCATTGTTGATTTATCAAAGTTATGAAATTAAGATAATAATAAATAATAACACTATCTGCTCAAAGGCCTGAGAAGATGATATGGCATGGCTCGAGCACCAGGGGCCACCGTCAGACAGACAACTACTGTGAAACTTGGCGGACAGCGGACCAGGCGGTGACCGGCCTGGCATCTTCTCTGTGGGCTGCGCGGCTTCTTGAGCAGACGCCAAGTAGCTGCTCTCAGTCCTACATTGTGCTGTGCATTGAGAACAGCTATGTCACACACTCCAAAAAATAATGCCGACTCCTTCCTTGTGAGAGGAAGCCTAAGGCACTCCTCCAAATAATCGAGAACCCCCACTTAACACACCTTCAGTTTACAATAAATTAAAAAAAAGCAAAAACAAAACGATGCATGCACACAAGCAGTTTGAACAGGGTTTGAGGATCCTGCTCTCTCCCACGGTCCCCTCTGTAATGCCAAAGAGTTGGATCTAAAACAAAGGGGGTTTTGTACCTTTTGGGGGCTATTTTTGGCACATTTTCCTAGGGGTTGAACCACAGAATCTAAATGCTAACCTTGGCACCATTTTTAATTGTAACCGTACAAGTTTTGTATATTAAATGTTTGCATTTTTGTGTTACTTTAAAATGTCTTGTAAGAGTTATATTTAACCAGTTTGTGTAACATTCTTATGGTGTTTTCATTTGAGGATTCATGGACATTGTGAGGCAGAACAACCTTCAAAGAAGATTTTAGAATTTAAAAAAGAAAATGGGTATTTATTTTAAATTTGACATGAAAATCCATACAAATATAGGCACTTTTTTCTCAGAATCTTTTTTTTTTTTTCTGAATAATGTACAGTAGTTAAAGGATAGTTTTGGAAAATTAAAATCACGCATCCTAGGCTAACGTGCCAGCCTAGTCCTTAAAAACAGGATTCTGAGAAACTGTGTGCTTACAGGCTAAGTTCTTATAATTATGGACAGCATCGCAGATATCAAAAATGTGATCATCAGTACGTTTCTTTATGGATGTACACTCCTACCGCGTACCGCATTTGCGGTATGCATTTACGAGTCACGTGACCTGCAGTTTCCTTCAGGCGCCTGCATATTTTCTGGTAATGCAACATTTTTGTTGCACAGAAATGGTACATGAAATTCAGGATTCTTAAATGTATATTAACAACATTTCCCCCCTTTCTTGGTATAAAAACACAAGAACTTGGTGCTATATTTTAAGGAATCCTCCAAATGAATGTGTTTGAAGGGCCAGAGACTTACCTGTGGTTGCCCCTTAAAAAGTGCACGTCTGGGACAGATTCCTTCAGTGCTACTGATGTATCCAGGCTGAACCAGTACAGAAACTGTGGATCCCAGTGTGTTTTGTAACCAATATGTGCTGTATTTCTCCTAGGCACTGAATAAATTAATTTTTTCTTTTATAACTTTCCATAGTTGATGTTTCTTTTTTAAAACAAAACTGCTAAAACACATATAATCTAAGCATCCTTTATTTATTGGGTCTTTGCACTTTAGTCTTCTCACAAAAGATCAAAATTCTATTTCAAGTCTCTAAAGACGAGATTACAGTAGTATCAATAGTTATAACACAAAAAATAAAAAGCATAAAAAGGCGTCTGCTTGTTCAGTGATGTTTTAGAAAATGTCAGTAAACTATGCCAAAATTTTCATGACACAGATAGAAACAGCAGATAAACAGGATCTGTGATAATTTGAGGTCAGTTCAGTCTGACAGAGCAGCAAGTTATACTGAAATCAATCTTCAGAACATCATTTAAAAACTATGTGGCAGGTATTGCAAAAATCTTCAGAAGCTGCAGACTGAACTAAACACTCCAAGCTATGACAAAGTCTCCAAAAATCACAGTATTTAGAAATGTGTAAAATTGATTACATAATCCAAGACAAAATACATTTTTCCTATAAAATTAAACTAGTGACACCGGACTCTCATCAACAGCATACATTTATATAAAATCAGCAGTAGTTTGTACAAATGTTCTTACTTACAGATGATTCACTGCACATCTGTTCATTCATACCGACATGGATGATACCCATCTCATAATAAGATGAATAATGAACAAATGGCCACAGTTTTAGCAGCTGAGAAAATGTATATAAACAGTGAAACACTGCTTAAAAACATGCCAGTATACTTTGTGCATAGTAAGTAGCATTTGCCTTTTGTGTGTGGAAGAAAAAAAAATAAAAATAAAAAACATTACAAAATATTCTGTGTTCAGACTTTGACCATAACAGTGTCTAGCTAACAAATAATTTCCGTAGATCAGTAATCATTATACGATTTTATCAGCGTTATGGGCGTCTCTAAAAGAGTCACACAGAAGCTGAAATGAGCATCAGCTTCCACCAGAGGGCAGCTGTGTACATATGCTTAGCTAACTGAATTGAGCAAAGTACAATTCACAATACTGTGGTTCAAATATTGCACAACTCTAAACAAGTTCAAACAGTAATACTGATGTTTTTCCCCATTAAAATGTCTAAATCAGGGGTCACCAACATGGTGCCCGTGGGCACCAGGATGCCCCCAAGGCCCGCGGACCTGTTCTAAAAATAGCACAACTCACCAGTGATCAGCATCAAAAATTTTATTTTATCCTGTTGCTATTCTTCTTTAATCATATTTGCATTTATATAGACTTGAAAAGGACAATATCTAAAAAAAAAAAAACATTTAAAACATGTATATTATACATGAAGTTTAGATAAGTTTAGGTAAAGTCTCTTCTGGTAGCCCTTCATATAGCTCAGTAACCATGAAGTACTGTAGCTCTCGGTTTCAAAAAGGTTGGTGACCCCTGGTCCAAATCCACTGAGATTTCTCACCATCTATTTATCCATCCATTCCAAAAGCTTATCCTGGTCAGTACTACGGGGGGGGGGGGCTTAGGGCATATTCCAGGCATTACAGGGCACAAGGCAGGGGTACACCCTGGACAGGATGCCAGCATATAATGGGGTTTTACAGCAATTTTCCCTTTATCTAGTATTATTGCTAGATATTGGTTGTATGACATTTTCTATTTTCTGTAATCACAGCACAAAGTCACTCCAAGTAAGCCTGGAGCACAGGGCGGGGCATATACCCCCAGTCCATCGCGGGACACACAATCACACACTATGAGGAATGAGTCCATGTGCCTGTATTTTTGTTTTTTTTTTTGGTGGGGGGGGTGGGGTTGTGGTAAAATAGGTACAATATAAATTGATTTAAATTTAAAAGAAAAATCATGTTAACAGTTTTACATTTTGACATATCTAATATGTTACCAAACAGTACAAGGATGAAATATTACAAATATAATGCAACAGTATTATATCTGAGGATTCATGCACTATTACAGTATGTGTGCTGATCATTCACATAGAAGAATTTGAAAAGTGCTTTTAAATATTAGTATAATAAAAAACTAATCTTATAAAAAGGTCAATTTAAACGTTATATGTATACAGACTAATTATCATCGCTTTACACTAACCCCATTGACCGGGTGCTGATCTGGTTCACTGCCACATGTCCCTAAAGGGCAAAGTTCTTTGGCTGGCGTCTCCGTGGAGGTCGCATTCCCACTCCGCACACGACAATGTCTGATCAAGACGGTAGCCGCAGAGCCCAGATAGATGACGGTCAGCACAGCGAAGTAGAAAAAGTAAAGTGAAAACTGCAAGAAAAAACGAAAACCTCTGATTTAGCGTAAAACTGTGCAAACAACTAGAACCGCTTCTAACAGTTGATTTATGTTAATGACACATGCAAGGCTTATTAATTATTTTGGCAACAGCTATTAATTAGCTGCTGTGATTCCATTAAACTTGTCAGTGATTTTAATTAGCGCATCTAAGTAGGAGAATGTTTAGTGATGCTTGGCTGGAATGAGGTGAGGAGGGAAGGGCCTCACCTGGGAATGCACAGACAGTCCCAGTCCCCTCTTGTCTACTACGATGATGGTGATGATGGTCTTCAGAATGGTCCCGAGGAAGGTGTTCACACCAAACACCAAGGCACACAGCTCTTTCGTGAGAGATGAGGCTATCTGGAAACTGAGGGGGAAAAATCACTGTGAAAAAAAGTGCTTTTAATGATATTTATTAGATTACGATTTTATGTCTTTTTACCTTTTTATTCAGTTTAATTTTTATATTATATATTGTATTCCTATTTGTTTTATTTTTGTCTTAATTATTGGCATTTTACTAAATGTATTTGCTTATTATGAATTTAAAGCATATGGATGGATGAATGGATAGATAAAAATGATTATTATTATTGTTATTAGTAGTAGTAGTAGTACAGTAGTAGTAGTAGTAGTAGTAGTACAGTAGTAGTAGTAGTAGTAGTAGTAGTAGTAGTAGTATTACTGGCACCAGCAATCTGTTTCATAACAAGAGAAATAAACAGGCAAGTCTAAAGAACCGCAAGCTGTTTAAAAGGCCCCGAGCAAGAGTTTACATTTAAACCTCCTTTATTCCGAGAGGCCAAGTGAGACTCACGTGGCAATAGGCACCAGGAACTGATAGAGTCCCTTGAAGAGGGTGTAGGACACATAGCAGACCCAAATGCTGTCAGTGGTACCCATGAGAAGCAGCAAGCCAGCCTGTAGGGCAGTGATGACACCGATCATCAGCTCTGACCACAGGTTCCACCGGATCTTCACAAAGCCAGCAGCAAAGGAAGTGATGGCACCTGGGTACAAGCAAAATACTCGCTCTGCAATTGCAACTAGCAATGTGACCTATTATGCGTACATGTTAACATCACAGGCACCATGCATTGTGAATTAACGTAGATCCCCAACTTTCAACAAGGCGCATAATAACTCAAGATATTTGCTGTAAACTGAATATTACAGACATCTAAAAGATCATAATATAATCATAATTTCATAAATCATATCATAAATCATATCATCAAATCCTAATTTGGTGATTCGTACATTTTCTATAAACACTTGTCCTATAGAGGGATGCAGGGTTCCGGAGCCTGTCCCGGAAGCTACATACACAAGGCAGGGAATAACCCAGGATGGCACACCAAACCATTACAAGGCATACACACCATTCACACTTACAGACAATTGGACAACTCCAGTTCAGCTTAGCATGATTTTTGACTATGGGGGGAAACCAGAGAACCTGGGGAAAACCACACGATGACACGGGGAGAACATGCAAACTCCACACACTTATGACTGGCATGGTCCCCAGAGGTGTGAGATAACAGTGCTAATTACTGTGCTACCATGCTTGCCAAAAATGTGGTGATGCCTTAGCTAAAGCAACCCTTACATAGTTACTCTACAAAAAAAGAATGCTTACCAAGCAAAGTAGAGGCTGCCTCCACTCCCCCATTGTACACGTGCTTGTTCTCAGTGGAGGGGTACACTTTGTTCCACAGGATGTGCACGTAAAAGAGGACCAGGTAGTATCCAGCAGAGTTAAACACCCACCACAGGCTCCAGAGGCGGAGGTTAGGCATCCGCACCACATTCCTCAGCTCCTTCACCATCTGGAGAAACAGGGAGCTCCGCCAGGAGGAGGTGACGGTTGAGGAAGGAAACCCACTGGGATCCATCTTGACGAGCTCACATTGGGCGGCCTCGGCCCTCTCATCCTGCCTCCGGTTGAAGAACAGACTGCGTTTTGGCCACGGCAGGCAGAGAGAAAGCAAGAGACCCAGGCTGACAAAGCCCAGCGAGATAGTGCTGAGCATGGCGTAAGAGACGCCACCCAACGAGAGGCACAGCTGGCCCAGCACCGAGCTGACGAAGACGCCCATCAGCACGGAGGAGCGTGAGTAGCTGGCCACGCGCTGATAGAGCGCCGGAGCCACCAGGGAGAAGATGTAGGAGGAGTAGGCCACACGCGTTGCCATGGTGATGCCGTAGAAGAACTCCATGAACTGCATCTGCAGCAGCGTGGTGCCGTGAAGCAGCAGCAGCCAGATAGCAACATGGCTGAGGCTCTGCAGCACCAGCAGGGGCTTGTAGCGCAAGAAGTCCGTCAGCAGGAAGACGGGAACCAGCACCGCCATGTAGGAGTAGGACAAAACCGGACTGATCTCATTAGTCACCTGTGTGGCAGGGAAGAGAAGGAGAACACGCGTCAAAATCCTTCAGACGTTCATGCCATGCATACCTGAGACTCAAAGCTTTAATGAGTGACAATGTGAATTACTTGAGAATGAATGTTAAGGCCACAAATATAAAAGCCAAACCAAATAAGTGTAATGTTACTGGGGTGGTTGCCATAACAACATTTTTTCAAATTCTTCTGATACATCGTAACAGACAAAGCAAGACGGTGGTAAAAGGGTTTCTGCAAGGGCAAGGAGAAAGGCTCCCAGACTTAGAAGGAACTGAGGTTACAGAGGTCCCCCGCCCATCATGGAAGTTGCGTTTCAGACCCATCAGCGATAGGTGAAAATCCGTGATATAGACAGACCATATAAATAAACATTTTGTATAGTTTAAGCCTTAAAATACCACCACCCCCCACCCCAACATGCTTTAAACACATGTAAATTTATTAAAATACACTTTGTAACCACATGATATGTGGATGAAACATATGATATGTGGATGTTGGGCTAAGGATATGAGTAACATAATAATAATAATAATAATATGTAATATATATGTATACACAGCACAGAGAACTGTGATGCGTCAGGGAAAAATCTGCGATATAGCGGGGGCGTGAAAGCTGAACTGCGACATAGCGGGGGATCACTGTACATAGTTTGGATGTTAGATAGACGCTTATCTGTTTGTGTGACCAAAAAAAAAAAAGAAAAGGAATGAAACATGCGAAGGATGAGGATCAGACACGGGAGTGAAGCCTGCATTGTTCCTGTGGTAAAAGAATTATTGCTGGGCTGGAAAAGTTGAAGGACACAGTCAGAAAAAGAAATGGCTGAGAAGGGGAAGAGCGCACACCCACAGAAGACACAGCAAGAGGTTTAAAAAGAAGCTCAGTAACTGTGTCATTTGGAGATACACTGTAAAACACCGTTGATGTACACACTGCGTCACCCTTAACATGGTCAAGTTTATTAAAATGGGCTCTGTGAAATCTCCTCTTGTGTCTTGGTCTCCTCTGTAACGACAACGCTGACCAAATTCCTTTAGCTTCCCCCCCTCGATAAAACTGTTTTTTCTAGCCATTTAGTCAAGCAGCATAAATAACAGGACTGGCAAATCTAAACAACTGACCTTCACTGAGTGATTTCAGATAATTCCTGTTCAATCTGAAGTTCCCGTGATTGCATGAAACTCCCAATCAGTCTTTACTTAATGTATACCAAGATTACCGAGAAAAAAAAAACAAAATTTCATCATTCATAACTACTGTAAGTGGCAAACCAAGGTATACCTAAGGCAAAACATATACAATCAAGTTCCCAAATCTCATCAGTTACACCACTCTGTATCTACTATAAATTCATAATTATAGTAAAAAACACAGAGAATCTCGGGTCAGAGACTCATTTTGTGGCCAACGTTCTTCATGTGAACAAGAGAAGACCGGCAGAAACCCAACTGCAGCGAATTTGAACTTAAGTCCTATTCAACACATTTCAATCCCTCCAGCAGGAGCAACACAGTCAAAGCAGGGAGCCCATTAAATCCCTCACAGCAGTCAGCTGCTAAGTAAACAGCAGGAGTTTATTAAACTGACATTTCACAAAACATTCCCTCATTACTGTACTGGCTTTTTCCAGCTTTAAAACTTGTTATAAAACAAGTGGAAGGTTTGTCTCTAACGAACGGGAATCTACTTTACTGGGGCATTCGCTTAGCGCTCATCCTGAACCCAGGGGCCCGATAAAGGGGGGAAGTTAGGATGATTCTGGGGGCCCCTTAGTGACAGGGGCCCTAAAAAATTGTCATGCTTTCACAGGGCTCAAATATTTTTGCGGCACTCCCGACTGAACCAATATCCACCGTACTGACAGAGTGAAAACATGAAGCTACTACTCATTAATCAGAATGCTTGGGTTTAAAGTCCACTCCTCCTAGCATCTGTGGCACAGTAAACCAGTTAAGTGGAACAGCGATAGTTGTGTGGAAATGACCTTTGGCATTTGTTGCAGTAGATGGTAACAGCTCAGACAAGCACATCTCACTGATTGTAGGAGTATCCACACAGGGGGACGCTGTGAGGCTCAGCAGGTTAGAACGCTGTGCCCTTGATTGGAATGTCACCAGTTCAAATTCTTGGGGCAGCAGAGTGATGTCACCATTGGGCCCTAGAGCAAGGCCTTTAACCTCCACAAATGCTGCACAAACTGCCTGACCCCTGCTTTCTGAGTTACATGTCACTTTGAATAAAGGAGTGTGCTAAATAAAATGTTATGATCTACATACTTGATTATAATGGTAATACACAGCACTGTCCAGATCTGTATCCACACATGCAATTTCAGTCAAATTAATAACTGGTATGAACCAGACACTAGTATGTGTCGACAGAGAAGGGACTTTAAAGTGCAGCAAGGCTGGGTTTGTCAGATGAATTCAATCTCCGAAGTAAAGAACTTGCTTTAAACAGTGCACAGTCCTCATTTAATGGCAACATGGTTGTGTTGCTAAGACATTGGTTTGACATCTTTGCAGATGGCTCTACATATACTTTTCCTAGATGATTTTAATGAACTGATCCACACAAAGGAGATACAGCAATGTGTGTACAGACAGCCTGACTCTATGTGCATGAGCTCACACCGAGTTACAATCCTGTTCATCATAACAGTAAAAGGGAGATTAAGTGTATGAACTACCAAGAATGTCAAATTTATGGCTAAATATACATTTTCAATATTGAAACTTTTTTAATATCACAGTGTTTTCATGATCCTCTCCTGAAGACTGGCATGCCCCCCATTTCCACCTTTGTAAAGAGTGGCTGACCTGCTCTCTTGTGAAGTTCTTCTCTGGGCTGAGCAGCAGAGGTGTGATGAAAGGTTCTCCAGGTTTCAGCTGGACGATGAAGCCATAGAAGCAGAGGAAGACGACCGACCACATCTGCCTGTGGGGCGCCTTGGCCGGCGCCGCTGTGGAGCCATGCTCTCGGTAGTGATCGCTGGGGTCTTGGTGAGTCTCCTCCGTGTCCCCCCCGCCTACCCCCGTGTTAACCATGTCCCCTTGAACTGCTCCGTAGCACCGAAGCCAGTGTCTGCCGTGGGAAATTCATTTCAGCATTAAATCCAGAAACACAAGGAGACACAATAGATCAGTTGTTTTGGCACTGCCATACAAATAAGCTTGCCATACACTCATTTTAAGTTCATCCAAAAAGTTGCACCCATAATTTGGGAAATATGTATGACATTAAAGAAAAAAAGATTGAAATGGCTATTTACTGGCATTCTTACATCCTCCGGTTTCACTTCTTGTACTTGGTCCTTGGGGTCTTTAATGTGCGTTTATAGTTCGGTATCAGAGACAGACACGAAAAAAATACTTCAGTCTAATCAAGTTATTTTGATGTGGTTAGGCAATTTATATAAATAATGTTTCCAGGAACAGGAGCAAAATAATAATTTTTAAAAATCAGTTGCATCATCGATATTTTGCTGACAAGCCCAATTGAGGCATTAAGTAAACACTACCCAATGTACACATGTAGCCTTTTATTAAGGTTAGCGAGTATAATCATACCGATATAGTAAATCACGACCATTAAAAAAATCGAGCTGCTGAATTCAATGAAGCGATACAGTCCGGTAGCCATGACCTTGGCTAAACAGATATAAATGATTTTTCATTTATATCTATGAACGCTATGAATAAGAATTCTTAGTAGCAAGAATAAGTTACTTATTTGCATGTATATACCGCTGATAATACAGAAAAACCTGAAGCTATATTCTGGACTACTGAAAGTGACGATGCCATTACGGGTTTCTGTAGTTGATTGTTACCTTATTACTTCGTTGCTTTTTTTCAGTAGCTGAGCAATTTGTCATGTAGCTCCCCGGAAAGGTCCTCAGACGATTGCTTTCGAGCTGTCATACTTAAGTACACGCTTCCGAAAACTGCAAAGCCCACAGTGCACCGCTCGGAAGCGCTAAGCACGCGCTGCAAACGCGCTGTCTGCTGGACTACAGCTCCGTCTAGCGTGAAGGACACATCGAACTACAATAGGGAGAAATATCCATCCATCCAACCATCCATCCACCTTCTAACTGCTTATCATGGTCAAAAATGTTTATAAAATAGATTTTCTGATATATTAAAGACCCCTAAGATGGCTTATCCCTGCCTTGCGCACATTGCTTCCGGGATAAGCTCCGGACCCACGGGTAAATTGTACCGACCGGGGCAGCGTCCCCTCGGTAAATTAAGCGTGCTTGTAGCTGATCAAAAAAGGGCACTTAGGAATTCAATGTGGGGGGGGACACTTAGTCGGTCGGGCAAAATGGGCAGTTGCTCAGGCACCCTCAGCCAACCCCCACTCTGCACGTGCCTGCCACGCGATCCTGTGTAGGACAAGCAGTGTAGAAAATGAACGAATGTGTCTATGTATGTATTTACACCGCATTTCTGACAAATATTTCTATATTAAGCGCTTCTGATTTGCATCTTTCTAACTAACGTAAAATGTATTTTCACTTTTTATCACTGTGAATATTTACTTTTAAGTATTACACGGTATCTACACAGTAACTTAGTAATATTAACCTGGACATCACGTTTAAGGATATATTTAGTAAAAGATAACTGTTGCGTAAATCGTCTATGATTTTCACCAGCTATACGAACTTTGTGTAGTTTTGCCAGTTGACAAAGAATTGCTTTGTGTTAAGCGAGTTTCTTATAGTATGACATTTTACCCGTTTGCATAATTCTGATTAATTTTGACTCTATTATACATTCCTTACGTTTTGCATCGCAAAGCCTACCAATAGTATAAGTAATCTTCTGTTTAAATATTCGATGAGAGGGACCCTAACTATAGCAGCCCACCAGAGAGCCAGGGATTGTCCCTGTGAGTCTTTATTCCCATTCTGCTGCATCACTATCAGTGCTTATGAAGTAAGCGATGGCGCCGTAGTTATGGATTGTTTCTGTCCTTTGGCTTAATTAGATTAATTGCATAATTGGGATGAGTAATGGCATTCAGCACAGAGATGAAATGAAGTAAACGCTAAAGCTTCAGCACGTGCCTACTGCCTTTAAAAATATAACAAATTTATTAATTTTTCATATACCCACATGAACTACATTTATTGCTGTTATAAGTGAGTTCCTTCATCAGACCTGCCTCTTTCAGGTTGGTAATGGTCACCTTGCAAAGTATCTGCTTTTCACACTTCAGCTGTTCTCCACACCAGTTCCTATCCAACCTGACAGCCTCTCCCCAATGCTTCTGCATTTTTTATTTGCCTGTCCCTTTTAGCTTAAAAGATGTTCATGTGTAACACATCAAGTGATAAAGCCCAGCAGGTTGCTTTTTTATAATGTTGCAAGACTTTCTTGTTCTTCTTCTTATTTCTTCACAGTCAAACACTTTTTTTTAACCTGTGAGCAATGCAATCGTCATCTTTGTTTTTGGATTTTGCTGGGTGCACTGCACTGTCCAGTCCCATAGAGGCTGATGGCTGAATTCCTTGGCAGTAGGTTACCCTGTTGGCTGTTGGCTGGCCCCTTAATACACTCCTGTATTGACATAATGATTGATTGTGAGCTGCTGTGTAAAATCAGCTGAGGACAGTATTTAGTGAAAAGGTGACGAATTTCTATATTTGGGAAGCTTTAAATAATCCTGGTTGAAACACTTTGGTCTTTCTGCAGTATAAAACTACTTGTGTCTCCAGAATAAAAGGAGAATAAATAAATTGGAAGTTCAATACACACAGGTAATACGCACCTTATAATAATGGGGCAAGTCTATAGAAATTTCTGCAAATAGTTACTGAGTATTCATTGTAGGTAACACTTGTTTAATTGTTTTACAGCTAATTACCTTAATACAGCATGTTGGGACATCATTTTCTAATTTTAAAAATGTACCATTAATAATTTACCAAACTGTGAGCTCAATAAGATTATTAATCTAAAAATAAATGGATGGATGGATGGATAAAAAATTTTAAAACAGTTTTCTAATGTGGTTACGGTTTCAATTCGCCTGACCATTCCTTTATTACACTACATTATCACTGCTCTATTATGTTATATAATTTTAAAATATTTAAAATACATTGACTTCACTAGTAGGCTAGAATAAAAGTCCCTTTTTGGATTCCCATTTTAGTTTTTCAGTCAAGCTCACAGGGTTATTGTGTTGGGTTAAGTGCTTCAGAATCTAATTACTCTAATGTTGACTGCAACCTTAAATCACACTTACTGGCTAAGTGCACTGGTTTGTCTGTCCTTCAGTGGGAAGCTCCGTGCTGCTTCCTGAGTAATTATTCCGATTGGATATGAGCTATTACACTTATTGGCTGGGGCATGGCATCGCAAGCCTGGCCTCTGATTCGTTGCCAGTGGCACCGTTTTGCTGCTTACCATTGGCTTCAGAGGGACAGTGGGAGGAGATTTTGCCCTTTCCTCCTTGTGCTACAGCATGAGTGAGGACTCTTTCTCTGCCACTGAATGACTGCAGGTATTGGTTTCTGCCTGTAAAACAGCCTGTGTGTGTGTGCGTGTGCATGTGTGAGTGAGTGAGAGAGCGAGAACGATAGTAAGAGAGAGAGAGACGCAAGCAGCGCCTCATCCTCCCCTTCTGGCTTCCCTCTCTCCCTGTTCCCTATCACTCCTTCCTTCTTCCTTTTTGGACCACCCATCTCCAACTGGACTGACCTGGACCTCTGTGCACCTTCAGCCTCCAGTCCTTTTCACTCTCCTCATTTGTCCTGCCAACCCAGTCAGCTTGACAGGTAAGACTTTCCTTCCTATATCAGGCTACATCACTGCAGGAAAGCCAGGATCTTCAGTATCTTCTTTCTTGTTACAAAACGCTTTCCCATTCCTCCTCGTCCCCTCTCTCTTTCAAGTCCTCCCTCTAGCAGCACCTCTCAGAGGGAGGCTTGCTGGAAAAAATGGTAGATTATAATGAGACAAAGTCACCTTTTTTCTTTCCCAAATACTCGCTCAGTGTATTCTTTGTTTTTAGGATTTGCACAGTATGCAGTCCAACTTTGTATCATAAGCCTATAGTGAGACATGGAAGGTCTTTCATATTGGTGCAAGGTTAATTTGTTACGAATTACAGAGAGTTGTAAAATGATAGTGATGGTTTATGTGAGTACAATATAGTTTTCTGTTAGGTCCAGACTTCTTATGATTGTCTTCTTTATGTTCCTCAAGGTGTAAACGCTAAGTTTTAAAAAACACAACACCACAAAAGCGATAATGACAACGAGAACAAAAAAATGACAACTACCAGATTAACTCAAGACTGTCCTCATTAGATATTTCAAACATTGTCAGTGTGTGACTGAAACCTTAGACCTTCTTACTATCAGCTAAGCAGGTATCTATACAGCTGGACATCATGAAGTTAATTGTTGGCAAAGGGACATTGGTGAGGTGGAAACAATGTAGGCATCTGTTTTGACGAATATAAGTGTGTGTGAATCCAGAATTTTGAGCTATTTTTTTCCTTCTGACATTTGTAGACTCTCACAGCTGTTAAGACAATACTGAGACATGGCTTTTAAAGTCATGGATCTGCAATCACAAGATCTCAGTAAACAAGCCAATATAGCACGCGATGGGAATGTGAATATGGCTTGACTGAATGGATTCAACTTGTTCTATTTTTATGGTATACACTGGACATACTGTGCAGATGCACAGCATGAACGTTGAAGTACAAAATTTATTGAGTACTATAATTTTTGACAGTGTCATTGTAATTCATTGTGAGTATGTAATATTCATACTGCATGCTTTAATTAAGCATTTTCTGACAGTTAAGGATCTACCTCAGGTATATAACAGGTGTTGTCTTTAGTACTCATTTCTCAGTGGAGATATTCTGATTGCATTCCAAACAAGTAATCAAAAGAAAATGACTATTTTCATTAAAATACACTGAGTATAAGTCAGAAATATTCATTATTAGCAAGTACACAGGTTCTGTCTTTCCCATCCAGAAGGTGCTAATTAGCATCTCTTTGGCAGCTATTGTCTGTTTTTCCAGAGGCTCAGTGATTGTTGCTCATTGTGGATTTAAATGAATGTTTTTAATGCACAAATTATGTACATTAAATACAGCAGCCTAATTAGCTTTTTATCCATTGTGCATATGAGATGGCCCCTTTCAGTGGAATAATAAACAGAGATTTTCTCCAGAGCACACCTGTAGGTAATGAGTCAACAAGCTAGTAACCAACTATATTGCCTCTACTTAAGAAAGTAAACTTGCTTTTTCTCATCTATCTATCTATCTATCTATCTATCTATCTATCTATCTATCTATCTATCTATCTATCTATCTATCTATTTATTCATTTGTTTGTTTATCATGTCATATTAAATCCTCTAGGAACAGGAAACAGCCACTATTTATTTATAAATAAGCAACAATGGATGATATAAAATAACAATAGGCTGGTTCATAATTAGTCAATCAAAATGCACATAATAATGAATGGAATGCATCCATTCATCCATCCATCCGTTTTTCATAACGTTTATACGGGGCAGGTTCACAGTGGACCTGAAGCCTATCTCAGGAGGCACAGGACACAAGGTAAGGGACACCCAGGATGGGATCTTGGTCCGCAATTAAATGAAATATGCTGGGGCATCATGGTGGCGCAGTGGTTAGCACTGTTACCTCACACCCCTGGGACTACATGTTCTCCCGTGTTATCATGGGGTTTACTCCGGGTTCTTCAATCCCCCCCCCCTTCCACAACTGTGCTAAAGTGAAGTGGAGCAGCCAGATTGTCTGTAGGTATGAAGGTGTGTGTGTGTGTGCCCTGCGATTGGTTGGTGCCCCGTCCTATAATATTTCCTGCCCTGTACCTGTAACATTTGGGACCCCTGTGACCCTAAATAAGAGTATCAGGTACAGAAAATGATTGGACTGATAAATAAAATATAATACAGTTACCCTAAAGTTAATCAAATTCCAAGACAGACAACATGCAACAATGAATTAATCTCAGAGAAACAAAGATCATAAATAATTGTGATAAGCGCATATGTTTATCTTGTCACAGACAATAGTGACATAACTGTTAGGGTTGACTGGCATCTCTTCCAGGGTGTCCCCTGCCTCATGTTCTGTGCTTGCTTCCTGGGGTGGGCTTCCTGGGGTGGGCTTCCTGGGGTGGGCTTCCTGGGGTGCTCCAGGTTCACACCTCTGCCCTTTTTCAAATGAACATCATTGAAAATGTGATTTGCAAAGAAAACGTATTTTGTGATAATTCCCTAAAAAGTTCTAATGTTTGGATGCCGTTCTACAATCTTCCCATTTGATTACTATAATTGGCCGTTCGGAGAGCTTATCCTGAAGGTTCCCCCTGTGGCTCTCCAGCAAGGTTTGTCTGTATCGTTTATTAATAAGAAACACAAACTAACAAACTCCTGAAAAATCAGGGATACTGCGTATCAGTAACAAAGAAAAAAACACTCACATAAATGGATGTATCATACAAATTGAGCATATAATATATTGTGGACAGGTTCTTAAGTGCATATGTGCAAAAATAGAGTTGATAAATTGGAAATGTCGAACAGAGAGACTTAAATCTGCAAAAATGCTTCAGATTAATATGGTTGCTTCTTTTTTCAGCAGCTTTAGATATTCATCAGTGCCGTATTAGTACATGAAGTCTTAAGGAAAAGCTATTACTTTTTTTTTTTAACTTCCAGCTACATTTCCTCTTACCAACCACTTACTCAGAGGGATTATTTCCTAGTTTCAGTCCTTGCATGCGCTGTAGTCTTTTCCTGTCTTGTTTGTTGGACACATAACACCCATCCCAATGCCCTGCCCCCCCCCTCCATTTCAGAGGGCTTTTACGCTTGCAGTCAGTAACTCACTTTTCCCTCTTTACATCGCATACACTGCAGGGCCAGCTATTGACTAGGAGATTGCTCAGTATATTTTGTCTTGGCCTGATTGGAAAGCAGGTGCCCACTGTAAAGCATGTGCGAGAAAAAGCCTCCTTCCTATGTCATAATTCATAAGGAGAACGTAAAGCAGTCCAGCAGGCTGAAATTGAAAGCTGCACCTTTTTCAAGACGGGGTTGGAAAGAATTACGGCCAGCGAAATCTGCAAGTCTTTGTCTTGGAAAGCACTCGCCGTGGGGGCTGTAATTTAACCCGCCGATGGGCCGTGATATCAGACGCAATCTAGAGAAATGGAGGGACAATTGAGATCTAGGGCACAGTGCAGTGGAGTGTGTCAGGGTTTAGTGACACTGTCTTTAACACGAGGCCCTTGTCATGTCTTCCATCTCTAACTGTGTAGTTATGTTTGACAATATGCCGGGGGGCGTTCCTGTCATATGACCTCCACGAGACAATTTTAGTTGTAGTTAAAAGCCTTTTAGCAGTAGTGATTGTTACTAGAGATGGGGACCTGCCAGGGTAGTTGGTTTCTATTTTAAGGACGTACTTGTTTGTTTACATGACAAAGCTGTAACCTTTGTAGGCCTCAGGCAAAGGCATGCATCGTCTTTGCTGATATTTCGTAAGTACAGTAGACTGCATTATACGTGTCTTATGGGCAATATTTGGTATGGTCACTGGATATGAGAATTTGTCATTGAAAGGGATATCAGACTATGTTGTATGTGGTAAGCATTTTGGCTGAACGAGCAACTTGAACATTGATTATTCAAGCCTCTATGGGAGGGCCATGGCTCTCATGCAAGAACAACTTCAACACAAACAAATGCAGACAAGCATTTTCATTCACAAAGCGAAAGTGCCAAATTACACCGGTAGCTCAGAGACAGGGCTAAGACAGGACACCTGTTGTTTCTCCGCTCTCAGATCTGTGGCAGTGTGACTCATAGTCAGCGGAAGCTTTATTTAGACTTAATCCATGGAGTGTCGTCACTGCATATGCTCTGGTCGGGTGCGTGCGTTCGCCTTCCCTGCAGTGAGGGAGCGTGTTGTATTGTGACGTAATACGTGTGAATCCGTCAGCAATTGTAGGACACATTCACCCATGTTAAATGCACATCTTAAACCCACAATGACAAGTGTATAAGGAGAAAGTCTGAAGTTCTGCAAGCTCCATTTTATTATTATAATAGTTGTATTACTTGTGGTGGGGACTGGATTATATCTTTTCTTCTTCATCTTCTTATTGGCTTGAATTTGGCTGTTTTGGCAGTGCAGTACATTCTGTCGCTCTGCTCCCTCATTCATAAGCAGATTGCCCCATCACATGGACCACGTGACAAGGAGACATGTTTGTCTGAAGAGTCCATGCTGCTTTTTCAGTTTCGCTTTACAGGTGTTTCCATCACCAATTTGAACTTTCAACACAGGTGTCTGTCTGAGTAGTTTCATCATTTGCCTCATTTGCATTTTCCTCTAGCTCTTAGATGTGACTGCTCTAGATGAAAATGCTTGCTTCTAACAATTTGTGTATTAGAATTTCCTAAGCCTGTGCACTGACTGTAGGGTAATGGCAATAAATAATCTATTTAAGTATTATATGTATTTCAAAATCATCAGTGGGTAACAGAAGAATGTATCTATTATTTATTTCTGTTGCCACAAAAAACAAATTGCAAACCACTGTTATAATCCTATTATTTGCATTGAATTTATTTTGCTATATAATCATTCTCTACATGACCTGTCCCTCTTGGCTCTTCCCAAAGGGAGAAACAGTGGCTCAGTGCGCAAAACTTTTGTTTTGTATCTCCAGGATTATGTTTTCAAATCCTCCATGTGTTTGGGCAGCTTTGTTTTCCTCCTTTCTTCAAATATGCAGTATTGTCTGTGGATTGCTTATATTGTGCAGAGGTGGAGATTTCAGGTCCAGAAAGTACAAATCCAGACCAAGATTTAGTTTCAGCCAACCAGTTGAATACTCTGTGACTATGACTCTTTATACTCAGTTGGTTGGTTGAAACAAAATCTTGGTCTGGATTTGCACGTTCTAGACCTGAATTTGCTTTATGAAATCAAGGCATTTAGACCATGAAAATCTAAAAATCTGCAATGAAATTGTCTCTGATATAAAACACATATATACAGGTATACACACACACACATACATATATATATATATATATATATATATATATACACGCTTTATATAAATAAAATATATGCTTTATATTTATAATATATGGTATGTATACTATACTAAACATGCACTTTTATATAAATGATTAAATATACATTTCATTTACTTTGCATGAATTAAATATATAATATTATTTATATTAATCTCTATTTTTAAACATGATACATTTCCCAGGGGGAGAACTGAAACGTCTCATCTCCCAGTGTTGGATTTCCTCCTGAAGGTTTTATGGAAATCATACCACCTTCTCCATTGTTCAGAGGCCTAAGCGGCTACAGTAGGTATAGCAGGAGAAGGAGACTGATATTCATATCCTGGATGCGCCTTTGAAATTTCTAAAAGGTCTTTTGTGGGATTAAGACTTTGAAGATTCTCAACGATCAAAGTGTTTTAATGTCATCACTTAATAAGGACGAGAGGAGCTTTCCGTCTTTGAGTCAGCATGTCAGGAGCAGTGCTAGATGCGTTATGCATATCTCATTTCCGACATTTATTTCAAAAGCTAATACACGTCAGTTTAAATCGTGCATTAGCGCATTTGCGCGTTTGAGTTAATCATAACTGTAGCGATATCAGTTCACAGCAATATATACAGACAAAAGCACACTTGCACAAGAATTTGAGGTAGTTTTATGTGCTTCAGTACACATAGGCCTACTCAAGACACTCTAATCCATGTAAACGACACAGACGTATTTAACTAACGGCTCACACTTATTTAACAAAGTTGCTAAAAGTTAGGGGAAGTCACGCAACCAGAAAGTGCAGCAGAGGCTGCACAAAGAGACATTGATAAAATGACGAAATAGGTAGAAATTTATTAGATGACATTCAACAAAGAGTGAAGAGTAAGTCAGTTGGGAAATAGAAATGTAAACTTCAAGTGGGGGGGGGGGGTGGACAGGAAAATAGAAGCCCACTTTAAGAAGGTATGTACAGTACAGAGATACCAAAGCAGAAGCAGTAAAAAACAACATATCTATAATTTACCTATGTGTCCCATTGCTACTATTTTCTAGATACCCTCTCTCTCTCTCTCTCTCTCTCAGTATATATATGTGTGTGTGTGTGTGTGTGTGTCTGTATTAGAAAGAGACAGAGAGAATTTAAACACAAAAATGTTCTGCTGTAATCTCACGATAGCACAATGTACACACAGTATGACCTCATCTAGAATATTGTGTCTCATCTTGGTCTGTCAGGCTCAATATCCTTCATTAGATCTATTTTTATTGAATCGCAGCAAGAATAATGGTCTTAAAAGATTGCTATTCCATGTTAAGTTAGAAGTAATTTTTTAAGTCTTCAACAATGAGCGAAGGATGGGGGTGGAGAAGTACAGAACATTAAGCAAAATACAAAACATCCACTCTGATTGCTACTTCGCCAGTAATACAGATTTATGAGCACTCTCACAGTTCCCGATGTCACCCTCACAGTTCCCGATGTCACCCACACAGTTCCTGATGAGCAAAATAGGCTGAATGGTCACTATTCATTTGTAATATTTTTATGCAATAATATTCTTATTAGGTAATTGGTATTGAAAAAGAAAATAGAATGTTCTTGCCAATGAATACCATTTCTTTAATTAGACCATTTAAAATGTAGAAAAGGGTTTAAATTAGGAAAAACCCGCTCATGCCAAAAATAATAAACTCAGTCTATAACCCTCCATCCTAGCCTCCCTCCATCTTCCATCTTTGTGTCCAAGTCGACTAGGAGTTTCCCGTCAGCACTACACCAACAATGGTCTTATATATTTTTTTTATCCCTGTGCTACTTCACTGCTTGGAAAGTGTAATGGCACCGTGGCACCTGCTAATTGTGTTCCTCCTGGGGCATTTAATATGGAATTATAAAAGTCCCCATTTTGGGACATTATAGTTTTATATGCATGGTCTTTCAGGGCTGTCTGGCCTGCTGAATTTATACACCTGATATGTTAAGTGCTGAATCATGTGCACTTTATTTAATGCTCAGGTTGCATGGGCTCTGAAAATATTTGCTGGGCAATTCAACAGTTTCTTTGCTTAAGCCCACTCCCCAGCTCTAAAAGCCCTCCCATCTTCTGGGGAGTGGTACAGTCTTGATTGGGAGCTTATTCTTCAAAGAGCATTGCTGCTGCTCCAGGTGGTGCAAGTAAGCACATGGGGGGGGGGGTGGAGCGGTTAGAGTGATGAGCTGGCAGACTGTCTGCTTGCTCATGCAGAAATATCGCCAGGCTTGTTGTGGCACGTGGGAAGCTGAGATTAGGAAGTAGTGAATGTGATGTTGCTGCTGCGCTGCAGTGCAGCACTGCAATGGTCAGGTGACATGAAAAATGTATGACATAGCTGGCTACACCACTCTCACAGCAGTACGGTGAATTAACTAAGTTTGCTAAAACGAAATTCATAAAGTAAACGTAAAACAATATGTTGTTATCCTGGTATCTGCTACAGAATAATGAACAAAAACCTCACTTTTTAATATGCCACCGTGCATGGAGTTTATATATATATAGAAATATGTTTAAAATAAAACGTTTCCCTGCTAGGAGTTTAGGTTCAGCCGACGGTTAATGTCTTTCCAGAATTCATTTATTCCACAATTTATCAGTAACCAACGAATGGGTATGCAATGATAAGTTCATGCATAATAAAGCACAATTTATATTTCTAAAGTACAAAAATGTACAACATTGCAGAGAAGATCACAAATTTATAATACCATAAATTATGTTGCATTTTACTTGCCTACAGAATAAGAATTTCCTGTATAGAGAAAGTGTATGGACTTTTGTTCTGTTGTGATCCATTTTTTTCTGCTCTGATTTCCAGGTTGCTGAAGCTGCAATTGCATTATGTAGGATTTTTGTAAAAACCAGGAGTACATGCTCAAAACTCGTTACATTTCAAAACAGACCAGCTAAAGAGTCCTGTTTATTATTGATACTATGATTGGTCCAGGAGTCTGAATGTACAATTCACTTAAAATGAGCCTAAAATAAATGAAAGGCCATACAATGTTGTAACCTGAAAATAGTATCAATAATCTCATGGGATATTATTGTTTAACAAAACACAAAATACCCCTAGACCATGGTTTAAAGGTAGCTATTTTAGTGAGCAAATTCATTATTTAATCAAAAAAGGATTTAAATTTCTATGTATAATAAATGTATTGTTGTACAAAATATGTGGTTTGGTGAAAAGTATCTAGAAGCCCATGCTGACTCGTTTTAGTGAAGAAGCAGGTATATTCCAAATAAAACCCTTTAAAGTCATTGGAATACAATAAATTAAAGCTTTTGTTTTACTCCATTATTATTATTATTATTATTTAGTTTTCCTAGAGATATAGCAGCCCACCTTGTAATGCTGTTGGCAAACACTGGTCAGTTTTCTTTTCAGCATTTTAATCCATTATCAACATTCACACTATAAATTACTTTGTTTCTATAAATATTTCATATGGGGTCTGTCAAATATTGTATAATGAATGTGAAAAGTGGACAACTGATTAGTAATTAGACCAAATTGTTACTACTCGTTTAATCTTAATTTCTGCGCTGATCTTGTAAGACCCTTCATGACTGTAAGTACAAATATGTGGCTTGTCAAAGAGTGGCGCTTGGTGTGTGTCTCACCCTACTGGGCTGAGCGACAGCTCCGTGGATCTGTCAGAACTCCATTACAGCCCTGGCTTCTTCTCCACAGTCGTGCTTAATCTGACATGTATTTCTCTGCTTTAGCAGGCCAGCTCTTGAGCTGGGGTCAGAAAATGATCTGTGAAGGTGAAGAAATGCAAGGAGGGGGTAAGAGAAACTGTGTGTGTGTGTGGGTGGGTGTGTGTGTGTATGTCCCCACAATATGATAAAAACCTGTTATTCTGATGAGGGGAAAATCAGTTTTATAAAAATCTGTGACTGAAATCAAAAAAGTGAAAATGTCAAGTCAAGCATTTTGTTTGGATACTCGTGGTTAAGGTTAGGGCTGGGTAGGGGCTCAGGTTGTCATTCGTGGGGTTAGGGATATGGCCATAGAAATGAATGAAGAGTCCCCATAAAGAAATCAATATATGAAATGCACGCCCGTGTGTGTGTGTGTGTGTGTGTGTGTGTGTGTGTGTGTGTGTGTGAGTGAGAGAGAGAGAGAGAGAGAGTTGTTAGCTTAGTGAAATCATTAAACATTAATATAGTCTGATTCATCTGTTGAGTCTATGCTGAATTTAATGCCGTATTGTAATAGGACTTTTACCCCTGAGACTTTCTCAACTGGACCTCTGTGGTATGAGAGATCTGATATCTGGCATCTAGAAGAAGTGACTGACTGCAGTGCTATGTTTAGGCAGAAGGGCACTGGCTCCTATGTTTGTCATTTTTTCCTTGTCCATTAAGAAGAACTGCCTTAACTGATTTTGGGGTTAGGCTGTGCCTTTCATCGCCGCACACAGCACCCACACGGGTTTCCAGTCACAGTATTACTTGACTAAACAACAGCTCATTTCATCGTAAAGTGCACCAGCTTCTCCCTGTAGAACTGGTCTAGAAGGACAAAAGAGGGATCAGCAGTTTCACAAGGGACAGTCCTAGAGTTACATCAAGGTTAGATGATCAGTGCAAAGGCAGTGCTTCTGCAGGCAATGAAGTAAGAGGTCTGGACCAACAGGGGGAGCTGTTATCATGTAGAAACTGCTTAAATGTGTTGAGCCATTTTCTGTGACCCTAAGCACGTGGTATGCTGTTGACCGTTATTCATACAGAATAATAGTGTATTTTATAGTAATCTAATAAATAACAAATACTAAAATTTATTATTATTTCATGTCTTAAGGAAATCCTTCATAGAAGTGTCTACATTGAAAACAACAAAGCTCTGCTGAAGGAAATGTAAGAATATAATGAGTATCCTACAATAACAAGCACAATGCATAGGCTCATTTTTACAATGTAAATATTATATATTTGTTACTTTTTTGCATTAACACTCTGGAGAAATGTCCGGGTAAATATTCAAATTCTCTTTTCAGTGGTACCATGTTGTTTTCTATTTCTTCTTTCCATGTTTCATGTAATATGACACAATCCTTTTTTTCAGATTGTTTTATCAAACCAGAAAACAAGGGCTTTGGTATTTCAAAACATCTGTAATTGGTCAGAGAAATCATATAATTCAGGTATGCATTCTGATGCCCGTGTGTTATTGCATTATTCTTTTAAATGAGACAGAATGTAGACTATAGTATAGTTGTCAGTAGGCCTGAAGGCAGCTGCTCAAACCATATTGTCTTTGTTTTCAGGTGGAACCACACTGGATAAGCAGACCTTTCCACACCTTTTTGGGAGTGTTACAGTGCTGGGTCACATGACCTGGAAGAGAAAACCCAAAGGACTTGTGGGATCCCTCTTTGGTCAGAAATAAATATGTTTATGTCTTCTCTTCAAAATATGCATTAGCTGAAACAAATCACCGATTTCTTTTAAAATCACACAATGGAATAATACACCTAAAAATTATAAAAGAGCAAAATCTGTTGGTATTTTTTCAGTTCAGGAGTTTTCAGTGGCTTGACAAAAAAGAAGACAAGTCTTTGTCGTTGTGTTTTTGCAAATCTAGTAGCTCAGTAAAGTGAATGATAAGTAGATCAGTACACGTGTGGCTTATGCACTCGTCCCTATTCTGCAGTCGTAGTGCAGTTGGCCTGACGCACTTGAGCAAGGTGTGACAAATACCATGCATGGTTGCCTGAAAACCTCCATCATACATGGTAGCGTGCTCTTTTCTCGTTGCTCTTGCTGCAGAATGGGCCGGTTATCAACCTGGAGAGAAATCCAAAGGCTGATGAGCTGATTTGTATGGTGACGCAGCTGTGCTCGTCCCCCTCGGACTCCGCTTCCATTTATGTCCTGAGCTTGGCAGCCCTCTGCCATTTCGGTAAGTCTACACCATGTGCTCCCTTTCAGGTCCTCCAGAGGCTCCCACACAATCCCCTGCAACATCCTTGTTAGCCAAAGGTTCTGCTGAAATGATGCATTCTGCTTGCTTTTTCAAAAAGAGTGGGAGCTGAAGTTTGAATTAAACACGCGGCCTTATTTTGATGGAATGGTAGCTCATTTTCACTATTTATGTGAAGAATTAATGGTCCATGTGTGGAGTTTGCATGACTGTGTGAGGATGCTGTAGGTCCTCCGCGGTCCTCCTACAGCCCGGGGATGTGCAGTTAGGTGAGCTGTTCTCTGTAAATAGCTCTTAGCTGGTGTGGGTGTGCATAAGTGTCCCCTACAGTGGAGTGGAGTGGCATTCCCTCCATGATGCCCATTGTCCTGTACCTTTTGCTGCCTGGCATATTTTACAAGTTTGAATAAGATTGAATAAGTGATGGGTGGATGGATGGATGGATGGATGGAATCATTCTGTGCATTTATGATTCCATATATTTGATATGGCTAGTTCATAAAACAGTTACTGCTTATTTATTCACAGAACGTTTTGTCTATAATATTTCACACAGTTCTACAAATTTGAGAACTGCACTCATCATGGATGTATCACTGGGGAGATTTAGCTGGCTACTGTGTCCACAGTATGAAAGAAAGTAAGAACGATACAGTCTTAAAATGGTTATTATTCTATTTTGCATTGCCATCAACAATGCTCTCTTTATGAATATAAGCCTAGCAGGCATGTTCTAGCATTACATTGCGTGAAGAATTAAGACATACATGGTGATAGTAATGATGTGAAGAAAAGTGTCTTTATCAGGATAATTGTACAGATTAAATTAACTTGCATTGCTGATATGTTTATAAAACAGCTTAACATTTTTTAAATATGTTGATTCAATTAAATATTTTACAAAAGAACTTAAAGTTCAATATGTGGCTTAAGGGTGTATGGCAGGACTCTTGACACAAAAATACCTGTGAATCTCAGGACTTTATCCTTAACTGCTCAGCCTTATATGCAAAATATTGTATTCAGTATGTGTTCTATTATGTTCCTGTATCAGCTGCTACAATTCATTATTCTTCTTTCAGTGGTTCAAGAGCTTGATTCTACTGAGATTCTTAAATTAGCATGTACATTTGGGATATTTTGGCTGGACTAGTTTTTGGGACTGAAAATATTTTTTGTTTCTTTTCAGAAGCACTCAGTCCATAATCTGCAAAGTATTTCTTGGCAATGGGTCAGATTTTGTGATGCCTTCAGGTATAAAAATGTGGATAGGATCTCTGGTGGGAAGGGCCCTGTTAGATCAGACCGTCTGTCCATGCAGTAAGTCAGAGTCACTACAAAGGCCATGTTAAATGCTCCATTAAAAAACAACAGGGCTATAGAAATCAGCCACGAGTGAAGTCTTTGAAACTACAACTTGACCTGATAAGCTCAGTGATTCTTAGTGCATCTAATTAGAACAGTTTCTTAACATTTTACTTAGCCAATATTTTACTTAACCTTTTTTTTTATACATGTGTTTTCATTGAGCAAACTTGTGTAGTACCTTACCTGAAGGGGCTTGAACCAACAACCCTTAACAGGCTACTGTGTTCTGTCAGTGCTGTGACTCATGAAAAGTATGTATACTTAAAGACTCAAGAGTGGCTTTTGTGTCATTGCTGAGGCCAGGCTTTCAGTCTGTGTCCTTGGGTCTCTTTATCCTGCACTAGAATGCAGGATTACATTGAGATAAGTAGAAGCTGAATCCATCTCTGTCAGGATGATCATCCATGGGAGACTGCACCTATCGATATCCTTGTGTGGTCATCATAGTTCAACCTGCCATAGAGTCCCTGCTGACTCCGTTGAAGGAAAGTGATGATGGACAACTAGCTTCAGTATTCTCTTAGGACCTCTTTATATTTTATGTTGGCAGTCTGGGAATTATTAAACATAAATCACTGCATCACACACACACCCTCTAAGCCAGTGGTGGCCAATCTTATCAAGAAAGGGCCGCAGTGTATGCGGATTTCCACTGCAACTCCCTAATTAGACTACCAATAATTAGAGAACTGATTGGCTGAAATGTTCTCACACCTGGGTTTGAACAGCTGACCTAAATGTTATCCCAATAACCTGCATACACACCGGCCCTTTGCAGATAAGATGGCCCACCCCTGCTCTAAGCACACAAACAGACCCACACAGACATTGTCCTGTTGTAACAAAGAGGCAATATTATTTGACATAAAGGGGTAAATTGATATCAAATAGGTTCCCCTTTTTGAGTGGTTTTATTATTCACAAACACTAAAGTAATATATCCAAATACGTGCACTGATTTGCACTCAAGGCTTCTCAGTAACATTTGGTCTTTTACTTGAGATAATGCTGTGAGAATAATTTTCTAAATTATGCTGAAAAATTTGAATACATAATTTGGCCACTGACATAATTAATGCCATTAAGGTCCCAGGGGGCTTGAGATTACTAGGACAGTATTATACAGGACAGAGGTGCTTATTCATCATGGGATATATGGCTGCTTGATGCAGGATGCTGTGTCGTTGTGAGGTTTCCCCTTGTGGCTAATGATCTGCTTTGAAGATGATTCGGTCTGGCTGTATCTCGGTCATGCAACTGGATATTTCCTTGGCCTGTAATAAATATGCACATGTAGAAACATGTGTATTGTAAACACACACGCATACACATTTGCTACATACACTTGATTCCCTGAAAACAAACCTATATGTGTAAAAGCCCCATCTGTCAGCACAATACTGTGTGCTGCACTCAAATAGACACAGTTAATGAACAAAGCGTCAGACAGTCCGTAATCCAAACATGTTACCATGTTAAGCTTTAGTGCATTCTCCGGTTTAATAATGCCGTTCCTTCATCAGCTAAGCTTTGAATGGGAGTAATTGAACCGATGCAGGTTATGGCTGTAGCTTTTGACACAAGAGCATATGAGCCACCAACCACAGGCAGAATATTCAACAGCCTTTCACCTTCTGACAGTGAACTATTACTCAGTTAGCCGGATCCTTTTTTTTTTTGACAAATTTATATTCTGGCATCAGTTCTGTGAGAGTTACTGACGTATTAATTAATGGCAAGTTTGTCGGCTTAATGAAAAAATCGGGTCCTTTTTTCTTACAAATGGCCTCATTTTGAATTAGTATCTTGTTTTATTATTATTATTATTATTATTATTATTATTATCTTCATTTTTGTAATATGCCAAATTACATGTGATTTAAACATACAGAATTCAAATAGTGCCACACAGCAGAGTGAAGTATATTTATTAGCATATTTTTGTATTTTTTATTGTTTATTTTACCCAAAAACAGGCATTATTCAGGCATTAAGGATTGTACCAGTATGATCAGTTTACAACTAGCTTTAAGATATTTTGTAACACTTCGCTTAAGGGGGCACAAATAATGTAGCATTATGCTATTACTTATGTATTAACTAACTACAAACTATGTCTTAGTTACTTATTGATCTCATGTTCATTTTTCATTAATGAATAATGACATGTTTTATTTCAAGCAGTCACCCTATTCATTACTATATCTTTTGATTCTGCAAAGCTTTGTGAACTACTGAAGGAACAAGTATCTGGGCGGCCCCAACTCATGACCAGGGGCTTTCGCTCGGTGAGCCATATGCTCACCCTACTGAGCTACGCCGCGGCCCAGGAAGCAGGGAAGCACTAGAGACTAGAGCTACAAGGCATGGGGGGGAAGCAGGGTGACCAACACGCATGCTGCCCAAAAGGGACTTAGGGCACCGACGGACGGGCACCAACCCTGACAATGACCAAAAAAACAAAAATAAAAAACCCAAATAACCAAGTATAAAATATCAGAGAGGATTTCGGTTTCAGATGAATGATATATAATTCAATCTAAGCTGAAGTATGACATGAAATTTTAAGGCACAAAAACATTTTTTACTTAAAAAAATACCTTTTCAGTTTTATTCACTGTCACAATAGAAATAACAATGGCCTTTACAGATAGACCTTTATCTGAGGGGGATGTTTTTATGCATAACTATTGTGGGTCTAAAATATCATAATCCCCTTGTTACTGGCAGTAACTCTTACGAAATAACTGGATATACTGAAATAATATCTAAAGTTTCAGGAATGATATTAGCATCACTGAGAAATAAATACCCAAATATGGACAGAAAATGAGAAATGAATGTGCTATATACTTATCGTATGTTTTCCGGTTGTTGAACATTGCATCCTTTAGAGAAAAATTATGCAGTGGTACTTTAATTAATAAAATGTGGAAACAAGGCTATTCCTGTCATTTGGGTTGTCTACAGATGACTTGCTGTTTCAAGATGGAAGGATGTAAGGAATGGCTATAAGCGTAAATGGAATGGAGCAAAATGGAGTGAAAATCCAAGAAACAGAATTAAAAAAGAATAGGAATGGGGAAAAGGACACCAGTTTTGTCTAATCACTTTTCAGTGGCAGGCAGATATTATATTACCACCTTCTGTCAGGTAGTGCTATAATTTGACATTTTGTTCCCTGCATATTTGATTCTAGTTCACGCGGCCAAAGCATGTTGGACACTGAAGAGGGGGCAGACCTACATTAAAAGGCCACTTTCAAACTAGTGCCATTAATTATTGGTTTCTGCTGGAAGGGAGACCCGTTATTGAAAGCATTGACTGTGACCCAAAAGAGGGTCGGGCAGAATTTTCCATTAGCAAAGGAAAATTTTCCATTAGTATTCTAAGGGCAGGGGAAACTTTAAGAGGTCCTTTCTTCCCAAAGAATATGTCTTCCTCCCCAAAAGCTACAAACACCAAGTACTTAGTAGACAGCAACTTTTGACAACCACCAAAGGATACATTTGTGCTTGAAAAATCCCACAGCCCTCAGAGGCTGGTTTTTTATTGCTGCATCCATTCTTCATTTAGTTTAGTCCAAGCCTGACTCACTCTGACCCCAGGAT